CTTTTACTGATTCTATATGATGTTGGCTGTGGGTCTGCCATATGGCTTTCATAATTTTTAGATATATTCCTTCTCTGCCTAGTTTGTTGCAGGTTTTTATCATGAAAGGGTGCTGAATTTTGTTGAATGCTTTTTCTGCATCTATTGAGATGATCATATGGTCTTTGTTTTTGCTTATTTATGTGGTGAATCATGTTTATGTGGTGAATCACAATAATAGTCTTGGTGGATTATTTTTTTGATGTGCTGTTGGATTCAGTTTGCTGGTATCTTGTTGAGGATTTTTGCATGTGTATTCATAAGGAATATTGGTCTGTAGTTTTATTTTTTTGTTGTGTCCTTTCCTGACTTTGATATCAAGGTGATATACTGGCTTTGTAGAATCAGTTGGGGAAGATTCCCTCCTCCTTGATGTTAGGGAATAATTTCTGCAATATGGGTAGCAGCTCTTCTTTGTAGGTCTGGTAGAATTCAGCCGTGAGTCCATCTGGATCCAGGGGGTTTTTTGTTGGTGTTGGGAGACTTTTTAAATTAATATTACTGTTTTGATCTCACTGCTTATTATTGGTCTCTTCAGGATTTCTGTTTCTTCCTGATTTAAGCTTGGGAGGTTGTGTGTTTCCAGAAACTTGTCCATTTCCTCTATGTTTTCTAGTTTTTGTGTGTAGAGATTTTCATAGTATTATTCATGGGTGATGTTATGTATTTTTGTGGTTATCAGTTGTAATGTCTCCATTTTCATTTCTGATTGAGCTTATTTGGATCCTTACTCTTCTGTTTCTGGTTACTCTAGTAAGAGGTCTATTGATTTTGTTTATCTTTTCAAAGAATCGAATTGTTTCATTGATCCTTTATATTGTTTGTTTTCTATTTCATTTAGTTCTGGCCTGACTTTTGTTATTTCTCCTTGCTTAGGATTTGGTTTGCTCTTCCGTTTCTAGTTCTTTGATATGTGTCATTAGGTTATTAATTTGTGATCTTTCTGTCTTTTTGAAATAGGAATTTAAGGGTATGAATTTTCCCCTTACGACTGTTTTTGCTGAATCCCATAGATTTTGATAGCTTGTATCCCTTTTGTTATTCATTTCAAGGAATCTTTTGATTTCTTTCTTAATTTCATTAATGACTCAATAATCATTCAGCATCAGGTTGTTTAATTTTCCATGACTTTGTGTGGATTTGAGTGTTTCCCTTGCAATAATTTCTAGTTTTATTCCACTGTGGTCTGAGAAGATACATGGTATGAATTTTATTTTTTTGAATTTGTTGAGACCTGTTTTGTGGCTTATGATATGATCAATCTTGAGAATGTCCAATGTGCTGATGAGAAGAATGTATATTCAGTAGTTTTGGGGTAGAATGTTCTGTAAATGTTAGGCCTGTTTGTTCTGGAGTCCTCTTTGAGTCCGGTGTTTATTTTCTGCTTTGATGATCTGTCCATCTCTGTCAGTGGGGTGTTGAAATTCCTGGCAATTACAAAGCAGCTATTTATCTCTTTGCTTAGATCTAATAGAATTTCTTTACAAATCTTGGAGCTCCTGTGTTGGGTGCATTTGTATTTAGGATCATTGTGTCGTCGTCTTGAATTGTTCCCTTTACCATTATATGATGACCATCTTTTTCTTTACTGTTGTTGATTTAATGTCAATTTTATCTGTTATGTGAATGGCTACACCTGTTATCTTTTGGTTTCCATTTGTGTGGAATATTATTTTTCCATCCCTTCACCTTGAGTCTATGTGAGTCCTTGTGGGTTAGTGTGTTTCCTGGGGACAGCAGATACTTGGGTTGTATTTTTTTCATCTTTCAGCCAGCCTATGTCTCTTCAGTGTATCCTTACTGGCTTCTGGTTTCCCTTATTGTTCTTGATAAGTCAGCTATCAGTCTAATGGATGTTCCTTTGAAGGCAATGTTCTTTTTGTCTCTAGCTGTTTTTAAGATTTTCTATTTGTCACTCATGTTCTTCAGTTTTAGTATGATGTGTTTATATAAACATTTATTCCTATTTATCCTACTTTATGGTTCATTTGACTTCTTTTTTCTGTGATTTGTTACTTTTCATTAAATATTGCAAATTCCCAGCCATTAGGTCTTGAATTATTGCCTATTCCCCGTATTCTTACTTTTATTCTCTCTGTTTCTGCCTCTTTTCCTGGGACCATAATTGAGAGTATATGAAAACTTCTCAGTTTTTCTTCTGTGTCTTCTGACCTCTCTTCTGTGTTTTACATCTGTATTTCCATGCTGCATTCTGGGTAATTTTTTTCAAAATTATCTTCCACCTCCAATTTACTCTTCAACTCTATCTAATATGCTATTGTGCAGGGAGATGGCCACGCTCCCAGCAAAAAATCGGGTCCCTTTGGTAGGGT